GCCCCTGGCTCCTCACCCACACCCCCCACCCATTCTGCCCCTGGCTGCACAACCACACCCACACACTGCTTCTGGCTCCACAGCCGCACCCACCCACCCACTGTGCCCCTGGCTGCACACCCACACCCAGCCTACCACTTTGCCCCTGGCTGCACACACAACACACCCCACACATACCCACACCACACACACCCATGCCAGATACACATGCACCCTAACAACGGCTCCATGCTCCCTGCTCTGGCAATGCAGCCAGGCCACATGGTACCACAGTGCCAACAGGCAGGGAGTGCAGTTGCTGGGGGTGGGCTGGGCTGGGCTGCCTAGTCCTGCTGATGCTCCTCCTGGGTCCTATTGCCCCTGTCTCTTGTCAGCTTTGACAGGAGCTGCTACAAGTCAATACAGGTTCAAAGCCTAAGGACTCCCTGCCTGAGGGGGTGGATCCGTGCAGCCAATTGCCCCCCACCCTCTCCAGAGTGCATGCGTAGTTGGCCCCCAGCATTACAGACAAACTAAGCCTTTTATTGTATTACAATTGTAAAAGCAGTTGTATAGGCTTTGGAGGACTAGTTTCTGGGAAGTAGAAAAATCTCAATTCTAGTGTCTGCTTCCTGGAGTGCTTATGAATGAAACACAGAAATAACCCTGGTGGCAAGGACCAGAACCCAGGACTTCCCCTCCCAGCTAAGAGTTTGCTTCAGAGTCAAGTTTAGTGTCTACCTGCTTAGGTGAGAAGACTTCTGCAAATATATGGAAACCTAAGTTTAGATATCTGAATGCTTCTTCCTAAGTCCTGCCTGTGGGTCTAGTTTACCAGTCTGGAGTTTGTTTTAAATACCTGAACTGTTTTTGAGAATTAACTTAAGGTTAAATTATCAAAAGTAAGGTCTCTTAGAAGCCAGAATCATTTTCTAAATCACTCAATCACTCTGGGTCCTTTGTAAATTTCCCCCTAAATAAAAGTTGTACTTCAGAAGTGCCTGTAATAATTACAGCTCAGCTAGAAAGGAAATCGATCCTAAATTATTTTAAATTAACCATGTTGTTTTGAACCATGTGGTTGTTCTCCCACTTATCCTTTAAGAATACCTTGATGACATACTGTTGCTTATTGCAGTAGTCACATTTGCCGTACACTATGCTTATTGAAAGATAAAACTCAATTTTTTAGACCTTTGAAAAGAGGCATCAGTAACCTGCTTTCCAAGAAAACAGTGGGTTATTCTAAAGAAATGGACAGGTATCTACTTTAAAGAAAAAAAAAAGACTTTTACTATCTTCACCTCTTTCATCTTACCTGTAAATTGCTGTGCTTAAATTATTAGTCTTTCAAAAGTGCTCTTGCATAACTCCAACTTTGTCCCGTACAACTGTGTGCTGTTAGGGCAGCCTCCAAGGTCTGTTGTTGGAGAGGTCATGCAGTAGAGAGGAAATTTTCTCATGTTCTGGAGGAGGTGAAGATGGCTGCTTTGTGGGTGAAAGCCCTTCAAATGGAAGGAAATGGTTACCTCCAGCAACAAGCTACATGATGACTAGAAGCTGTTTGGGCAGTATCACAGGATCTCCCAGTTGAGTTCTGTAGACTTATTTCCTTTTAAATACCCCTTGCTTGAACTAAGATGGCAAGACCTGGTCAGTAGGCCCTCTAGCAAAAATATGTTTATTGAATGCTAGAAGCTAAATGCTTGACAAATGAGAGGAGTATACTTCCTTTGGGATTTCCAAACTCCCTGCTCCCATGCATTCAAAAACCATTCAGTTGTTAATCCTAATATGCTCTCAGGTTTCTCTTCCACATGTTTCTTTTCAGATATAATTGAGTCTAAATGCCTGTAACTTGATCACATTCTCATTACAATTTTTGCTACATTAACTGACCTCATGGATGATTTATGGCCAATATACTTTACAATACATGATTCAAAGCTTCCAAGATATTTGGCACAGTATATACATTGTCTGATTTGTTTTGCATTAAACCAGAAGTTTTTGGCTACAGGAAAACATACTTTTTAAAAATTTGGTTCAGAGTTGCTTTCCTTTAATTCTGTGTCTATGTCTATATACCCCTCTCCCTTAAATGTTATCTTATGTATTCTTGGGGTCAAATCCTTGACCCCAAGTAGGAGTCTCATACCACAGTGAAGCTAACACACTTTCACCATGCTGGAATCATCATAGTATGAAGAGGTCTTAGAAAGGACCTCTGTATCTACTCAGCTGCAAAACTGTTTTGCATTGCTCCCCTGTAGTTTTTAGAATAGTACAGGAGGGAACAAGGCTAGTGAACTAGAGTTAGAAAAACCACTGCCAGTATAGAAGTTAAGGGGAGGTCATTGATCATGAGAGACAGTGTAGATAAGCCCTGCTGCAGTTCCCTGTCCATGGAGTGGAATGATTTGTAATTCTTCTTTATAAACCATAGTGGAGAAGCTTTCGGGTGCAAAACTTTGTACAGGGTCAAAACACATTCGTGTATATTTCAGAAATACGAATTAAGGAAGCATTAATGTTCACAGCCCCTTGATGGCATCCTAAAGATACACGATGCCTTACCATATGCAACTGCAAATTAACTAGTGGCAGGGAAATATTTTATGTTTCTAGAAAGGAAAAATTTACAAAGTCTCCTGTCAGTTGCACAAAAAAACAGCTGCCAGTTAATCCAGATTTCATTGTTACTTTTGCAGGTGCAAACACGGACCAAGGCATAGATGCTGTAAACACTTTGAAGATAACTGCATCTCATATTGCGTTAAAGTAAGTACAAAAGAAGGCAAATTTATAAACATGGATTGAGACTGGTAAGAACATGAAGTTTAGCACAGAATAAATATAGATAAGTAAGAAATGGGGAAGAAGCCTGTTGATGATGCTTTTTCCATTATAGAGCTGACAAGTTTGTGAAAAACACCTTCTAAGTTAGCCCTTTTGGAGTTCCTGAGACTTTGGGATCAATTAAAATCAACCAAGAATTTAAAGTGAATGAAAAACAGATCAGCAAAAGGTTTGCTTAATTATGTGATGGACTGTGTAACTGATCCTTCTTGCAGCTCCACCCTAAATAAAGTACCTGGAATGTGCTGTGTTCATCAGATGGATCTGTAGCAGCACACATACAGCTGTGCATATCTGGCACACTGGTATTTGATTTTGGACTTGCTTGCCTATTAATTTATTTTAAGGGGCAAGGGTAATGGGAGATTTGTCCACAGTTGCTGTACACAGGGGGAGCTGTCTGTGTCTGCTGGCATAAATTATCCTTCTTCATAACATGGTCAGTGCATATTTTTCAGGGGAGTACTGTGTGGAGGAGATTGTGTTAGCTGGAATTAGTTTGGCACAGGTGGTGCCACCTGCCATACGTTCTTTACTTTTGGTGAGACTCCAGCAGAGCTCAGTCTCTTAATAGTTTACATTTTTTTTTTTTTTAATTTCTGCAGCAGCAGATATGGCTGTCTGGACAGTTGAGATTTTTCAGAGGCTATATTTTGCCATAAAACTCCCCTACCTTTTTCATTAAAATTTTACATCCTGTTGGAATTAATTCCTTGGTGTTTTTAAAAGGTATGAGTAGCTAAACTTAGGGTAGAGCAAAGGGCAATAGCAATTTTAATATTTTATACAAGTTAGTTTACCTGTTATTCAGTGTCAATTTTTTTACTATTTTTTTTAAACTGAAATATTTTGGTGCACCATTAAGTTGCATAGTGTTTTGTTTCAGTTTCAGCAAAACATCGTATCAGCCACTACCGTTTCATTCAGGTCTGTGAGTGTTTTGGTCTAGAGGCTAGAAGACTAGTGTGTGCAATAAAATATTTGCAAAATCTTTAGAATCCCAGTAATACCTTCTAGTTACATGCACAAAGACTGAACATTTTAAACTAACACACTTAGCATAACTTACACAAAATGCCATTCCCCATTTTCATAAAGAATGAAAAAATGAACCAGCATATAATTATTTAGTCCAGTTTTTCAAATGTTGATACCTAATGTACAAAACTTTTAATTATTATACTTTGTGTGGAACATGACATTAGTCAAGTTTTCATAACTTTGGTAAAGGGTTTGCACAGTCAGGACCAAAATTAGGACTGAATGCAAATCTGGAGGGAAGGGAGGTGGAGGACATGGTATGGACATTAACTAAACACAGTTTCATAGTTCTTGAGGATTCCCAGAAATAAAATAACCTAACTGCAAACTGATACTGGGTTAGTACCTTTGTCGGCATGTGGCAAATCGTGATTACTGCACCAGGTTGGGTAAGAATTACATATGGCTTTTTCTTGTCATTACCTATCTCCTCCATCAAATTAACCTTTCATTTGTCAATTAGGTCTCCTCTTCAGACCTTTACATTTTTTGTGGGGAGGGGAAGCTTTTATTTGCTTTGTATTTTGGACAGTGTATAAGGTGGTTGACATCTAAGCACTAATACAATTTAAAATGTTTTATAACATTTGTCATGCCCTTAACCTCCAAATGGAAATCAGTCCATTTTCATTGCACAATCTCAAGTTTTTAAGACTGTATCAATTTGTCAAAAGCACTATTATTTATAGCAGAAGCCTCACTGGTACGTACCAGCTTTGACACAGGTTTCATCTAGAGAGATTTGTAACATTTTGAGGGTATTTGAACTTGAGTGTCCTAACTCCTAGGTGAGTGCCCTAACTGTCAGGCTATGCTTCTAAATCTCTGCACTTGGAAATGTTCCTCTCTGTATAAATAACTAAATGTTAATTGAAATAGAAACAGCAATATTGTAACCCTTTGTTTTTGGGCAATTTACTGGTATGTGAGACACTCAGGTTTGAAGTCCTATCCCAGTGAATTTTTAACTATTTATACAAAGGGGGCAGTGGTTAATAGAAAAGATTGGTGAAAGACTCACCCCAGACTAGCTAATAGGTTGGTGGTTAGGGCACACTCCTGGGATGCGGGAAAATAACAGAGCAAGGACCTGAAAGTGAGCGCTCCACATCACAGGAAAGGGCCCTGACCGTCCAACCTCTTGAGTATTTTGAGGGTGCGATCGCTCTCTCTTGCTCTGTTTCTTTCTCTGATTTTTTTCTGAAAAAGTTTCAAAAGATCTTGGTTCCATTCTGATTCAGAATTGGGAAACTGGTACTGCCCAGGTGGTTATGCCACTTACAAACTCCTTACTTTGGGCCTCTCAAAGATACTCTCAAGTATGGATATTTTGTCCAGCACCTTTCTTAGGCAGTGGCTCCCCCACAATCCAGTCATTCTGAAACTAGGACTTCAGCCTTCCCATGTTGTTTAGACATATTCTTAGTGAAGTCAGTAAGCAACAGAATTTCTTATATGCACACACTCAACTCTTAAACAAACACAAAACAGTTGCAAAACTGTGGAAAACAAAAAAAAATCCTGAATGCATACTGCTTTGTCTTATCTTGCCTTCTTTTATGAGTCCCTGTTTCTTATCAGTACCCTTACTAGAGATAAAATTTCCTCTTGCCTTCACCTGCCCGGCCTCCACTATCCTATGTCTGGTGGTGAAAGTGTTTTGGGGTTTTGTTCTCTTGCTTGAAGAATATTTCTCTTTTAAAGCATCCTTGGATGGCTATTCTGCTTCTCTGTGGCAGCTGGGGAATTTCTCTGAGACCATATCCCACTGGCTTCTTTATTGCACAAAGACGGTGGTTCTTCCAAAAGCCAACCCTATTGTTCACAGGCAAGAGCCATTCAGTTTAACAGCCCCTTGTAGCTTTGGTACAGCTTCCAAGATCCCTCCCTGCCAATTTCTGGCTACAGAAATGAATGTTTAAGGCTCCAAGAAAGATAACATTCAAAACAGGGGCCAAAATGCATCAGGCATTCACCAAAAATGTGGATTTTGTATATGGATGAAGATATATCTCCCAGTGGATAGATGGAGACTACTGATTTTAGAAAGCTCTGTAAGAGTTACATTCACCCTAATGCAAAGGGTTTGTGCAGGTTCATGGGGCTTACGTGTGTAAGTAAGCCTACATTACGGGCTTAAGTGATACAAAGGTCTTTTCATGTTGTCTCTTCATTCATTAGGTTGAATTTCAGTATAAATGCACATTTGCAGCAGACTGCTGCCCTGGTCATTAGTTTGTACATGCTTTGCCTTTTGACCCTTATAATCTCATCCAAATCCCCATAGGTCCTGAGTGCAAAGTGATACATGCACAGCCGTGACAGCTATAAATACACCCACAAGACTTTATTTTCTCTAGAGTATAATTTCTTGAAGAAAAGGCATCTCCCTTCCTGAATAATGATGGAGCCCATGCTGCTTTGTTTTAAGCTGGAGGGTCAAGGGGTTCAGTCAGCAGAATGATCAGCTGGTTAAAGTAGCGTTCCAGTGATATAGCTGTGATGGTCCAGGAATTACATGAGGTAAGGATTTCTTAGCGTGTTGTCTTTTATTGGTTTGGCTGCATAGTTGGGATACAGTTGGACAAGCTTTTGAATGCATTCTCCTGAAAAATACTTGCATTCAAAAGCTTGTGTAATTCTATCCCAACTATACCATTGGTTTAATAAAATATAACACCTTAAGAAATCCTTGCCTCTCACAGCTGTTTTAAGGTTCTTCATAACTAAGGAAATAGATGATGTTCCCATTAGCCAGTACGCCTAACGAAGGAAAGGATTATGGTGTTTTTAGAAAGCTCCACTGCACCTTTGGTTTGTATCTTACATTTTCTTCAAAGGCCTCTTTTTGGCATACTATTATACATAAAGTCTGAATGACAATGATATAACTAGTGGAATTAATGTTAGATTGGCCACCATTTTTCTGAATTTCTTTGATTTTGCACTTTGGGAGTTTATATATTTTTATTTACAAAGTATATGTAAAAATATGTGCATGGAATTGCATCCTTTGTATTTACACATACGGCATTTTAACGAGCTGTGGATATCTAAGAGAGTGGGATGTTTTCTGGATTAATATATACACACGTAGCTTTGAGCTCTTTCTAAGATCACCTTTGATCAGTAATAGCTGCCTACTGACAAAGCAGTAGCATAGTTTTTTAATGTGATGTTGTTTCAATTAAATACATATTACCAGATTTTCCCCCTCTATTACATTTCTGCTTACTGCTGAACAATTTGTATTACTATAACTATGCTAACATGACCATTCCAGGCTGTTTCTTTCTCCTGCTCTATATTTAATTGAATAAGTCAGCCATTAATATAGTAACATTTTATTTTCATGCTATATAGTAGTTGATTTACTATCTAATATTCATAGATTTCACTTAAGATTTATATAACTACAGTCATCAAGGCATCAAACATCCAGACTCAGTCTGGCCTTTGGCTTCTGTCTCAGTGGTCTAAAGGTTTGGCGGGGGTGGAGCCTGAGCAGCCTCCACTCCTCTATATTCCTGTCAAAGGTCATGGTGACCTCTCACGCATACACCATGATCCAGAAGGCTCAACAGTTGCCTACTACTACTTCATATTTGAAATAATTGGGGTGGAAGGGTTGGTTGTTTCTTGCCACTGCAAACTTCTGAAGAGCACTTTTGAGCCCAGTAGCAATATTTCATGAACATCTTTCCTATCTCCTTTGATTGAGTTGGTGCTATCCTGTAATATAAATAGGTGAGGTAAGGATTGTAGGGAATGGGCATACATTAGCCATCATAGTTATATGTATGATAAGTGCTATTTTGTCTGTGCCATTGTAGCAGATAACAGCATGTGTCATCCACTTTACCTGCTAACTGGATTCAATA